TGAAATTTCGTGAGGATCGCATGCAAAATGCAATGCGGCTGTCGAGTAGGCGGCGCCGTACGAACCGCCTATTGCCGCCGGAAAAAAACTACTGTTCCCTTCTACATGACTTGCACCTTTGCTACAGATATGTGTATACATTCATTTCAATTCGTTATTCACTTGCTAAAAAACATTGGTTTTCAGAAACTCCGCGTTCATTCACACCCGTAAAATTAACATTCGCCAGTTTACAAACAATCAGACCAATCGAGAGCGTGCGAGTGTTTACGAATAGTCTGCGTTCTCGTTGGTATTCTGCTGGCCATGCAGGAGGACCTGATTATGACTCGTCTGCGATTGTTGAATAAAAAAACTGAATTTAAAAACAATGCCGTTAGAACAGTATAATACAAAGAAACGTATATATGTGTGCCCCCCCACGAAAATGTAAGGGCCCCCCCAGTGCCCCACCGCTGCAAAAAATCCTAGCTACGCCACTGCCGGGTACGGTAGGTCCATTCGCTTTCATAACTTTAACGAGACAGAAACATAGGCCGGCAAGGTGGCCGCCAGATTTCGATAATAACGCAAGCTTGGGAAATAAATTTATTATGACCGTAGAAAGCACCCTTAACCCTAAACCCTAACCCCAACCCTAACCCAAATCCTAACCCTAACGCCAGAAAAGGGGCTTCAAACGAATCGAGCGAGCTACCGCTACCTCAGCCACCATAGCGACCATTAAACAAGTTTCAACTCTTCCAACTCAGTCCAGCGTAGCTCAAGAAACGTCTATGGCTAGCGGTTAGACATATAGACCAAGAAGTCGTCTATATAGGTTACAATCATAGCGGGACGGACATATCATATAGCAGCGTTACTTGGTTAACTTTTGACAAAGCAGGGTTAATCTTGACAAATGAATACAGGCTAACATGTTTTTCCGGCCACGGACGGCTTAGGGCGACGCGGCGAAGGCCGCCGAAGCCTGCAGGGCGGTCCGCCGCGAAAAAATTCTGATTTGACCCACAAATCAGCCTATTTTGATGGGTATGGGTTCTAGAATTTGGTAGTTTAGATAGGAAAATATATGCTATTAAGTATCTATTATAAAAAGAAAAACCCGACCGTGCACAGAGTTAGTCTTGGGTTGGAAGTATTTGAAATAAACTTCGTTTTTTCAAATATGTATTAAATATTTTACCGCCTTTAGTGGGAGTTTGTCAAATTGATAGCCGGTAACAAATTGCGCGATAGGCGGTAAAAATAACCGGTTACCGGCTATTAACAAGAACCCTGATATAGGAATATAGATGGAAGACATATAGGGTTAGAACTTAGAATATAGACAATCCGTCGCACAGCCTGGTCGGTCTAAGTCCAGCCAAGTTTTATATTGAAACCCACAACAAAAGGTCACGTGCATGGAGCAGCCCTTCGCCGGCGCTCAGTGCTCGGGGATAGCACACCCGGCCGGCAGCTATCATTGTATCAGGAGTGAATAATAATAGATTGTATCAATCCTGATTTTATCATCGACATCGAGACGTGACGTACTATAATTATTAATTAAGTTATTAGTAAATATTACGTACTTATAGTCATAATATAGTAGTAATTAATACGTTGTAGTTGTACAGACAAATTCATTCCACTCTCACTGACGACAAATCGGTGATGTACCATCAATGGCGTTCCTATGTGCACACGTGCATGTTAGCCCGACGAGGCTGTGCGACTTAGTGTCTATACTGTCTCAGTGTCTGACTGACTGTGCGACTGACTGTCTGACTGTCTACTACCAGGGTCTTCTAACCCTAGCAAGACCGTTTCTTGGAGCTAACGTGCGTATGTGTGTATGATAAGCAAATGCCTAAATGTTCACACCTACTTTTTCGAGCATCTGACTGATAAAGTAGGGACTGAGCATAGAGCGAGAAGAAGCTAGAACCGCAGCTTAACATGGCCCAAGGATATAAGAGCTGTCCACATTTGCACATGTCACACATTTGCGAAAATGAATTGGGGACAGCTCTTATGTCCTTAAACTGCTTAACACAGTATGCATACAGTTGTCAATTGTCCGGTTGGATTTCCTGTTACTGTTAGTACTCCTGGTAACTAAATCTTGGGTCTGTGAGTTTATAGACAGCAGTAGAATGCCGTCCGTCGCCTACTCCCTTTGCTTAACAGCGCGTCTTTGATTTTTCTGTAGTGACGGCATATCACTCCCCTGCATACTGCGATGAATCGCACGGCGCTCATGCAGCAGTTTGTGAGCGGGCTGAAGCACCGCAGTGAGGAGGTGCGGGCGAAGACGGCGAAGGAACTCAACCACTACGTCACGACGGGTTTGTGCGCGCGCGCGGCGACGCGGAATGAAAACGCTAGTGAACCCCCCTCATACACGCACGCAGGCAGGCACGCACACCCACGCTTACACGGATCCATGCACGCACGCACTCGGGTGCGCACGCATGGATGTGCAGATGCACACACTCGCACACAAGCACACACCATGCAGGAATGCACGCATGCACGTATGTACACATACGCTGCGTTGTCGTGTATTCACTGTATTGTCATGCGTGTTGCTAACCAAATGTGCGCTGCTAAGTTCAAAACCACCCGTGAGTCTTATTGTTCACTAACCGAGGGCATGGGTCACCTCTAGTTTGGCTGACCCTTTCCGTACAAAGACGAGTAAATGCGTACGACTCACATCACAGTATTCATCTTTATTTGTGACATTTGAACCTATTTTAAAGATTGCATATTGTTGTGTTTAACCGCTGTTACTGCTGAGCATGATAGACACACGTGTTTATTGATGACCAATTAGTCTTAGATGCACCAAGCGTTCCAGCAGTTTCTGTTGGCACATAGTCTCGTGACATGACGTGAAATAGTCGTGAGCTGAATTGAGCCGACAAACGTTACTTAATTTTTTTGTTATCTAACAGAGTTGCGTGAAGTGTCAGTGGAAGAACTGACGGCATTCATGGATGCATTCAACCACCACATATTTGAGATGTGTTCCAGCTCCGACGTGAACGAGAAGAAAGGTGGCATACTAGCAATCGGTAATTATTATAATTATTGTGCGGCAGGCATTGAGGTCTATGGCGATGGGGGTACCCGCAGGACTTGGGGGAGGAGAAAAGACGAAGTCAAAACGCCTATTCCGCAGCTAAGACTCTATATGGTAGGTTTTTGTTAGGGATGGGGTGCTGTTAATGCAATGGTCTATTTTTATCAGTCACCATTATTGTTACTCACACCTGCCTAGTAAATAACGGAGCCGGACCTGACAATCGTTTGTGCGGCAGGGGAACACTTCGCGACTTTTCTGAAGTGGTGCGTCTGCTGTACCACGCACTATGATTTTTCAGCCAAAGATTCGAGGGGCACCGCTGCATGAGGCCATGCACACATAGGCCACAACCATGGACGCTACATGTGGCGGATAGCTTGCATGTTTACCCATTGTTTACCCACGACCGCCCTAGTGTTCAGCACGTAGACGGGCACAGCGGTGGCCACCAACATTAACAGGGAAAGCCGCCCGTTGCGGGCCGGTGTCATGGGCTTCCACCCAGCGCGCATCACACGTCACCGCCGGGGGCCGCGCATTCATGTGCACACCGTCGCAACCGCGAGTGTCAAACGTCACTGGGAGGCCACGGGTCGCGCCCCGCGTCGAACAACACGCTCAAACTTGGGGTGTGTCCGCCTCGTTCACCCGGG